TGGGACTCCTCCATTGGAGATATAACTGATATCATTGATGCAACAGATGGAAGTTGTTTGTATCTGAAAATGCTGTTAAGGCAGAATGAAGGAGACAATGACCTGACTTATGATTCCAAGGTAACCAGAGGTGAAATCTGAAGACAGTGATATGATGAACTGAATCATGTAAGTCCTAATCAGTGAGGCCATGGCTTCTACAGATTAAGGTATTTATAAAAAGCATGTCTGTGTACGGGGCTGATTCCCAAGATACCAATGGGAGAGTGCTGAAGCAGTTTTTGGGGGGCTGTGCTAGGAATATGGGGATTTTCCTAAGTGCAATAGGAAGCCACTGCAGTTTTGTTTTCATCTGTTTCTTTAAGAGTAACATTTATGTTTTAATAACACTTGAGGTTGAGAAATTTGACTTTATGAGGAAAAAGTAGATGTTGCTGAACTGCTGGGAAGCTATTAGATTGGCCAAAGAGAGACATTATTAGTTTGGGCTATGGTGGTATCAGTTGGATATAAAAATATGAGTGGGACCATAGCCGTGTGAAAGCTAAAGTGACTGATAAATGGAAATTTAGAAGTCAGAGAAATAAATAATACCCCTTACATGGCGAGGTCACAGTAAGGTGGCGCCTTTAGCAAGTCAGTGCTCTCTCGGGTGTCATTAGTTGTAAAAAGGGGGAAACTCTTGTTCCATCTAGGTGTTTACTATAAAGTTCCTTTGTAAGCTCGAAGTAGAAGAAGACAGTAGGCAGTTGAATACATGGTTTTGAAATTCAGAAAGGTCTGCAGAGAGATGTAGATCTTGGAATGTTCTACTTACTAACATACTGTTAATAATGTTAGCACACTGTGAAATGAGTTGGCCTTATAAAGACAGTACAGAGAGAAAAGAAGATAGTTTGATATGGAGACCCCTAAAAAACAAGCCTAAGAAGGATTAGCTAGATATTTTGGAAGAATACCTAAAAGAATAGGAGATAAGTGGGGAGAATATGAGAAAGGCAGAAAGGGGGCCATTGGGAAAATTATTTTTCAAAGATCAAGAATTGTCAGTGTTGAAAACTATCCCTGTGATTTACAAGATAAATGATGTCTTTGGTGAGAACTTGGCGTGTGCTCGTCTCTATCTATCTATATCGTATATATATGCTCAGTTGCTCGGTCATGTCCAACTCTTTTGTGACTTCCTTGGACAGTGGCTCAACAGACCCCTCTGTCCATGGGATTATCCTGGCAAGAATACTGCAGTAGGTTGCCATTTCCTTTTCCACTGTCTATCTACTTGTCTATTATTTATCATGTATCTATGTGCTATCTTCATTTATCATCTTTGTGCTTGGGTCACTGTAAGAAAAGCAAGTAAGAATGCCTTTCTCAGGGTTCTAAATTATTATTTTTAATTGAAGTATAGTTGGTGTACAACTATTATATAAATTATAGGTATGCAAAATTGTGATTCACACTTTTAAAAATTATGCTCCACTTATAGTTATTTCAATGTGTTGGTTATATACCTTGTGTTGTACAATGTATCCTTGTAGTTTATCTTATATCTAATCATTTGTACTGTTTAATCTCCTTCCACTATATCACCCCTCTCCCTTTTCCTCTCCCCACTGGTAACCACTAGTTTATTCTCTATATATGTGAGTCTTCACTACTAGAAGAACCTACCTGTTAACTCCTGTCTTCTTTGTTCCAGTTGGATTAAAGCCTAGGAAAGGACATTGAATCTTTACTGAGTTGATACCTCCCCCCCTCCCCACAGCAACTTCCATACAGTGAACATTCACTACTCTGGCCTAATTTTATTGCTATGTCTAGAAAAGTTTAAAAATAGAGCAAAGTAAAGCCCTGATATTGTACTCAACAGTTCACTTTATTCACTTGATTTAATCATTTTGTATTAACCAAATGATCTTCAGAATACCATGTATATTGATAAATGTGTTCAGAAATCTATGCATTGAAGAAGAAAATGAAAACAATGCATTCAAAACATATGTATCACAAATGTAAAATCACTTAGCTTATCAACAAGAGAATCGTAAACACTGGTTTATTAATTTTCTTTTCATTTTGATATATTTATTGAATACTTGCTATGTACTTTTAACAGTAATTTAGAGTTAATTTGGAGAAGGCAATGGCACCCCACTCCAGTACTCTTGCCTGGAAAATCCCATGGATGGTGGAGCCTGGTGGGCTGCAGTCCATGGGGTCGCGAAGAGTCCGGCATGACTGAGCGACTTCACTTTCACTTTTCACTTTCACGCACTGGAGAAGGAAATGGCAACCCACTCCAGTGTTCTTGCCTGGAGAATCCCAGGGATGGGGGAGCCTGGTGGGCTGCCGTCTATGGGGTCACACAGAGTCGGCCACGACTGAAGCAACTTAGCAGCAGCCGCAGCAGAGTTAATTCTGTTTTAAACAGATTATTTAAATTCCCACGCAGACCCTATGATGCAGCTGCTATTATTGATGTTATGCAACATAAATGAAAAGAAATTGGAATAAGATTCAACCATATGCTCAGTCATAATTTTTTGTGTCCTCCAAACAAATAACACTTTAAAAATCCCATTTTTTGGTTCATGCACTTTTAGTTATACCAAAATGCCCATTTTTGAACAGTTGAATTTCTGACTTTATACCTATGTGCAGACAATTTACAAAAATAACATGTTGATTGTCAAAGTGTACCTACAGCCTAAATAAGTGTATCCAAACAGAAAAATTATATAAGGTTCTGCTAACAAGATACTTTAAATGTGTTATATATTATTTAAATAATCTTATACAAGATAAATAGATTTAATAATTGTATACACAACCCTTCATTGTTGAAAAATCATAAAACCATGTTATAAATCCAAAATGGTCTGTTTGTCTCAGCTTTAGTTCTTTTATATACAATTGCAGAAAAATAAATCTGTGCCATCTGGCTGCTCAAAGAAAGTGAAAACTTGAACTCTATTTTGTGTTCTCTTTTGATGGCAAGTTTTGCTTTTCGGTTTATGATGCATATTGCAGACTTTCAAGTGATGTGTAATTGCAAATTACTAGTAGCTGGTGCACAGACTATTTACCAGTTTTGTAATATAAAAATACATTAAGAAAATGATTAATATTTTATCATGCAGTTTTCCTTCATATGAGTACATTATCATTATATTTTATGCGATAGAGGTTTTTATTTTCAGCTAATTTATCTAACAAGCTAAAGTATCTATGAGTTTTTCTAAGAACAAAAGGGATGACATATATCTATGCCATGCTTGGCATAAAGCAAGGGCTTTAAGGAATAGAATTTGCTATATTTATGGATATAATTTAAAAATTTATAGTATATATTGACTAATAAACACATTACTGAAATATATGTTAAATACTTACTTTTTGTTGGTATTATTTCCTCCTACCATCACCCAAACTCAGAAAAGAACTTGTATCTTTTGGCTTTATTATACCTTCAAAACCATGATTGATGTTAAGTATAAAAGGGATATATCCCATTCTTCATTAGATACTTTGCTTTTTTACCTTTTTTTCTTCATCATATATTTGAAAATTGCTTTGTCAATGATAAAAGTGTGTTAAGACATTAAATGAAAATATAGGGCTCCCCCAGTGGTAAAGAATCCACCAGCAATGCAGGAGACAGGGATTCAATCCCTGGGTTGGAAAGATCTCCTGGAGAAGAAAATGGCAACCCTCTCTAGTATTCTTGCCTGGAAAACCCCATGGACAGAGGAGCTTAGCGGGTTACAGACCATGGGGTCGCAAAGAGCCAGACATGACTTAGTTACTAAACAGCAAGAGCAAGGACAATGTTGAGTTCATAGATAATGCTAAAACCATAGGCCATCATCATTGGTTACTGTGAATTTTGTAACTGAATTAGAACTAATACTTTGTTTCTCCTGTGTGTGTGTTTCTCCAAAGGCATCTCTTCTGTTCTAATAAAGGAAAAAAAAAAAAAAAAAAAGAAAAAAAAAAGGAAAATTCTTGCCATTGTCTCCACAGTGAAATGAGTTCCCAGTTCTGACTTTATTTCCTATTCTTTTCTCTCTTGCTCACTCACTCTTTTCTAGCCATAGTCTCTTTCAATGTTGCTTAAACCTGTCACTTCCAAATAATATCTATATCTCAGTATTTTTCTCCTCCTTATTTTTCCTTAGATGGTGACACTGAAGATGGTGTCACTGATGGTGACACCAATAATTTTATTTAAAATTTCACCTATTCCTAACAGTGCATTTTTCACTATTCAGTTTTTTTTTTCCTTCAGGTAACTTATCAATGTCTAATAAAACATATTTTATTTTACTTGCTCATAGGCTTAATGTCTCCTCTCACAAGAATAAAAGCTCCATGAGGGTAATATGTTTTATCTTTTTTATTCATTACAAGATTTCCAGTGCTTATAACTGTATCTGACATGTCTAAACACTCTATTTGTTTAAATGAAGAATACATGAATTAATGAATGAAAAACATATGAATGAATGGATTTTGTCAGATTTTTAACATCTACTTAATATTTAATGTCTAGAGAACTTTTTAAAATAGGACTTAATGTTTTCTTTTGCATAAGAGGATCTATAAAAGTGCTTTTGAAAGATTCTTATTAAAATACTTTAAAAATAAATTTTAAATTATTGATTAATTTGCAATATAGCAAATATCAATGGGAATTTGAATTATCAGAAATTGAATTTTTATCAAAATATAGCAATATTTTAAGTAGCATATATTCAATACATAATTATACATTAAACCTAGAGGTTAACCAATTTTTCTACATTAATATTGCCCTGAGGATTTGTGACCAATAGACAACACACGCTCTCTCTCTTTTTGGCATCCATCCTTTGAGTTGCCCCCTTTATCCTGGGTCCTTGATGTATACAATATTCAAATCTTTGTGACATCCTCTCCCACATTGTGACATGTTTGGTCTGTGTTACCAACGGTGATGATATGTTTCCCCTGAGATTAGGTTACACAGGGCATGTGAATTCCTTCTCACTCTGTCTCATCACTTGAAGTTAATCACCATGTTCTTGGGAGAGGCCCTCTTGGGGTTCTCTCAGGTCTTCTATCAAGAGCCCCCAAAAGAATGAGGAATCAAAACCTTCAGTGAGCAACCCTGAGAGTGAGTGGAAGGTAATCCATCAATCCCAGTCAAGCCTTCAGATGGCTCATAAAAAGTCTTGCACTGGGACTTCCTTGGTGATCCAGTGGTTAAGATTCTGCACTCCTGGTGCAGGGGATCATGGGTTCCATTCCTGGTCAGGGAAGTGGGATCCTTCATGCAACATGGCATGGCCTAAAAAAAGAATAAAAATAAAACAACAACAAAATCCAAGGCGGGGGGTGGGGGGGTGGGAAGGACGCAGAAAATGAAGGTAGATACTTAAATAAAAATTAAAAAAATCTTGAACTAAAACTATCCAGCTATGCCAGTCTGCTTAAAGATGACAGAGACAAGAAAATTTCTAAACCACTAAATTTTAGTAGCATGTTATACAACAATGGATGATTAATATACTGTTATACATATAATCAGTAATACAGTCCCTTTCTGTAATAGGCTAAAGTTGAAAATAAAAGTGTTTCAGTGTTGCATATAGTTGAAATCCAGAATCATTTTCAAATCACACTCATGTTACCCCTATTCATATCTTAGATGAAACATTTAATTTATCAGTGGAATAATACACCTTGTCAGATGGTTCTTATAATATTAATACTCTCCATAGATCTGGGAGGGACAGGTGACAATATTAAATCATAAATAGGGTTGATCTTCATTATTCATTGGCTCCCTATTTGTGAATTTCCCTACTTATTAAAATATATGTTTAACGTTAATTCAATACTCATGTGGTACTTTTGTGATTATTTGAGGACACATTTAAAGGTGGCAAATATTGGTCTCCCTGTGCTCAAATTACCAACTGAGTCAAACCAGGAGACACTCGTTCCTCTTGCTTCAACTCTCCTACTATGCAAAATCTCTTTTTTGTGGTCTATTTAGTGTCACAGTTTTCACATTTTTTGCTTTGTGTTAGTGATTTCACTGTGTAAAATGGCCCTGGATGATAGTGTTGAAGTATTGTACAGAGTTTCTAAAAGCAGGAATGCTGAGTGGTGCTTTACAGAGAAAATACATACCTTTAACTCAGATGAAACACAAAATGCAAGCTTATATGTTAACTAATTGATGAAAAAGTTGCTCTGTATTTCTCTAGGAGCAGATGGTTTGGTATTTGTAGAAATTTCATGAAATACAATAAATATGAATAATGAAAACTGACTGTTTAGCTTTAATGTAATAGCAAATGTAGGCATGGCCTAAATTGTTCACACAATCCTCTCAGGAAACCCGTTGACTTTTGCTCATCTATAAAGTATCTGTAGGATATGCATTAAGATCTTTGAACAGAAAAAATATTAAATTATTACTTGAGATTATTACATCCAGAAAAAAACAAGTATTTTTGCCTGTATTTCTTAAATAAGTTTGAGAAAATTTTGAAATATCTTTCACCTAGATATAATAAGGTGAAATTTTATTAAATTTTATTAAATTTAGGATATTACAAATTTATTTTAATTAAAATGATTTTCAACCTTATTTATAGTAAGAATCCAGATGAAAAGATTACATTTAAAGCTATTCCCTTAATATAACTATAAGCTACTCATTTTTAACTATATAAAAATTGTTTTTGTTGTTTATGGAGCTGTATTTACATATGAGGGTTTCCCTGGTGGCTCAGTCAGTAAAGAGTCTGCCTGCAATATAGGAGACTATCTGCCATGCAGAAGATGCAGGTTTGATCCCTGGGTTGGGAAGATCCCTTGTCTCTTATTTCATTATCAATTTAGCATATGTTAAACATGAATTATTGGGGAGGGAAATGGCAGCCCACTCCAGAGTTCTTGCCTGGAGAATCCCAGGGATGGGGGAGCCTGGTGGGCTGCTGTCTATGGGGTCGCACAGAGTCGGACACGACTGAAGCGATTTAGCAGCAGCAGCAGCAGCAAACATGAATTATTCAAAGAGCTACACTTTTTAGAATAAACCACAAAAAGTAGGGTTTAGAAAGTTGAAATTTTCTGTAAGAGACATTAAGATGAAAATAGTCATTTAAAAGTCACTATTACACAATGTTAGTAAAAAAAAAAATAGCTTTGAATTATCTACAATGACTATTAGGAAATCTGTTTCAAAGTCATTGTTTGGGAGTAGTTTTGTTTGTTTTTGTTAATTGGGAGACTTTCAGATGTTTTGATGAAAGTTTCAGATTCTGAAACATTTCAAGACTGTAAAACTTTAAGAAGTTTAGTGAGAAATAAGTTCCTCTTCTATAAGAGGAACAGGTTTTTGTATCATGCTTTTTCCCCTAAGCACATTTCACTGGTGCTGTTTTTGTTCCCCTCCTGACCCCTGCCCCAAATCACCATAATCCCCTAATCCTTAGCTCAGAGAGCAATATGGCAAAGGCTTCAGCTCTTTTATCTTTTCATCATGACAGATCTTCAGGAAGTGTTTCCTTACATTTAAGTAAAAAATTTTTACTCCTTTAGCTTTTTCCCTTCCTTCTTGAGTATATTTCAGATTAATATTTTAGACCAAAATCTTTGGCTTTTCCCCACTTAGCCTCAAATTTAATAAGTAAACCAATTGAATAGATTATAGTAAGGGAACTCAGATAAGAACTTTCTGTAGTAGCTGTTTTAAGAATTATGAACATCCACAAATTGTCTATGTTAATTTCTGTGAATAAAATAAAATTTAATTTAATTTAGAAATGGTATAATAGCACACATATACTTTTTTAATTAATGTGCTTCATTTCTTTTTAAATTAATATAGTCAGTCACTGAGCCATTGACATATTTATATATAAGTGTTCACTGAGAGGGATTTGTTTCTAAACTATAAATAAGTATATTTTAAAAGTTTTAGAATTCCATTATTTTACAGGTCAAGTAACAAATGTGTATTACTTTATTGTTATATCTATCATACTTAAGCTTAAATAAAATGTAGTTAAACCCTGGAATGCTAAATTTCAATATTCTAAGGCTAGTATTTCAAAATATAATATGTTCCCTTTCATTTGACATCACTTAGTTATAACCATCTTTGCATCCTGGGAAATAAATTATCATTTATTCTTATCTTTCTTTTCCTTTTTTCCATTTCATTTCATTAACTTTCATGGCTGAGCCATACAGCTTGTGGGATCTTAGTTCTCTGACCTGGAGATGGAACCCAGGCTTCTGGCAGTGAAAATGCCAAGTCCTAGAAAGCTGCACACCAAAGAATTGATGCTTTTGAACTGTGGTGTTGGAGAAGACTCTTGAGAGTCCCTTGAACTGTGAGGAGATCCAACCTGTCCATCCTAAAGGAAATCAGTCCTGAATATTCATTGGAAGGACTGATGCTGAAGCTGAAACTCCAATACTTTGGCCACCTCATGTGAAGAACTGACCCCTTGGAAAAGACCCTAATGCTGGGAAAGATTGAAGGCGATAGGTGGAGAAAGGGATGACAGAGGATGGGATGGTTGGATGGCATCACTGACTGAATGGACATGAGTTTGAGTAAGCTCTGGGAGTTGATGATGGACAGGGAGGCCTGGTGTGCCGCAGTCCATGGGATCCCAAAGAGTCAGACAGGACTGAGTGACTGAACTGAACTGAGCCACTGGACTGCCAGGGAATTCCTTACGTTTCTAGGAGTATATACTTAAACATGGGGCTTCCCAGGTGGCTCAGTGCTAAACCTGGCATAGAGTCATACACAACTAAGCACATACTCAAAGATACCTTTGGAAGGTCCACTTATTTATGGTTAGGACAATGGACAGAAACCTTAAATCAGCCACCTATAATCTCTGCCTCCCAGTATTCACACCCTGAGGGGGGGCAGGACTTGCTTCTAACCAACAGAATACAGCCAAGAAGATGGAGTTTGACTTCTGTGATTAGGTTACATTAGATGAGACTCTCTTGTTGGCCAACTTGCTTAGAGGCTCTTCCGGCAGATGGATAAAATATTTCCTTGACAAGCAACTGCTTGCAGCCTCTAATTGCAGAGACAGTCCCTTGGATTCCAGCCTGCAAGAAGCCAGGCTTCTTTGGCATCTGGCTGTAAGGCAGTGAAGTCTGCCAGTGCCCTGAGTGAGCTTCAAAGTCCTTGCTTCTCTAGGAGAGCCTCCAGATGGGAACAGAGCCTGGCTGACATCTTGACTGCAACTTTATGAGATACTAAGCAGACGATCTAGTTAAGCCACGCGTAAACTTCTTACCACAAAACTGCAAGAGAGCAAAGAGGTGCTATTTTAAGCTGCTAAGTCTGTGCAAATAGAGAGCTAATATAGTTTAAAAAATAAACACATGGAAGCTTGAAATGAAAGTGAGAAAGTTATCGCCAAGACTTCAGTCACCAGGCTTCATGACAACTAAAAATAAAATAAAATTTAATTTAATGTAGAAATGGTTAATAAACTTGATTAGGTTGGAATTTTCTCCAATCTGTGCCTTCATAACAATTTAAAGGAAAAAAAGGAAGCATTCTGACAGCTTTTTAAAATTCTTAATATTAAATTTAAAAGAAAGACTTAGTACATATATCTACACAAAATGAAATACTGTTTCCACTTAAAAAAAACCATTAAATAGAAAACTCAGAAATGAAGAGAGTCCAATATGTCTTAAACATTTAAAACAAGGAAATAACAAATAACTCTAGGCTTGTGTACAAACGATGTTTATTATGATACTTTTAAGATATTTTGTTCTGTTTTCTTCGTTTTACTTTTAACATATTTTAAAGAGGCAAGTCCTTGTAGATAAAAATCAATATTTTCTCCATGAACTTTGAATTGTGCTATAAATAAATTATCTCAAAATGTTTCTAATTACTGGATGTATACAAGATCTATTTTTAATGAAAAAATTCACTCAGATATATGATTTCATTTAATGAGTCAATATTGAAGTTGTCTTTTTAAAGATAGTTTCACCAAATGAGTAAATCTATTCTTTGAAAAATAGAAAATAAAAAAATTTGCAATTATTTTATCAACAACAGACATGGCAATAAACATGGATTATAGGGGAAAATAATGTCTCCGTAGAACTGCATTGCTGATTAAATTGCACAGTAAGCACATTCAATAGGAGATCAAAACAGGAGCTTAAATGCATGACTTTCTTCCAACACAAGACTGCACTAATGTTCTTTTACTAGGATGTAGCATAACACTCATTCAGAGCAAGGACTCTGAGCAAGATGGCTGAGTTTGGATATGGGTTTCCTATTTTTCATGTGAAATCCTGGATGTATCACTTCTCTAGTAGCCTCAGTTTTCTCAGCACATCCCGGGGTAACATCTAGAAGACGGATTGTTGAGAGTATTAAGTTAGACTTATGCATGTAAAGTACTTGGCATAATTCCTGACATATAGTTCAATAAGTCAGTATAGTTATTGTTGTAGCTGTTAATATTATTATTATAATCTTCACTGAATTTATGCTCTAATGCTCTGAGTTATTCCAAATGACAATTAATCTGATCAAATAAAGTATTCATTATTTTAGTATTTTAAAACAAATGAAAAAAAACAAAACAAAACAGAAGACAAAAGTAGTCTTCACTCCACTTCTCAGATAAAATTAATGTGACTTTCACTTTTTAAAACTCTTAAAAAATGTATAATTATCAGATTGAAGAAAATACAGTGTTAGTATTTGAGAGAAAACTAAGGAAGTTTTTGTATTCTTATTTAAGTAGTTACCTACTATATAAACATAATTTTATAGCTGCCATCCCCTTAAATATTATATATTGTGAAGCATATATTTCTCATAAAACTGATTGTGTTGCAGTTGTAGGTTCAAATGTTGATATTTCTCAATGTAAAATCATTTCAACAAAATAAAGAAATTAAGGGAATCCATGTAGAACTATAAATTACAGACTCATAGATTTAAAAGGCATAAAAAGAACTTAGAAATTTAACTGATGAATGAAAACCAGAGGGTAAGTTGGTAATTCTTCGAAGAAACCCCATCCTTAATGTCGAGGTCTTGTAATTTTTCATAGCACCTTCAGCCAGAGTTTCTTATAAAGGCATTTCAATTTAATTTAAATTGGTTGAAACAATCAGATAGCTTTTTCTCTCCTAAATGACTTGCTTTTGCAATGGATGCAAAAGCTATTAGCTTTAAAGAAAAAAAAAACAGGTATGAGGTATGAAGATTTGTCTCTTGTGATACACTCCGATTACTAATAAAGAGGTTGTGAAAATTGAACATGACTTTCAGCCAACACAGTAACACAGACTCTGCTAAGTGACAAGTGACATTAAGAGCCCTTGAGAGACAGGTCTCTGTCAGAGGAAGGAGAGCCATGTGGATGTAAAGGGAATAAAATATTTCCATGAGATAGAAACTTAATTTCATTTTTTACCTGAAGATTATAGTAAATTAAAGAGACCTTATTGTTCAAGAGATGGTTATGATATCTGATTTTGTTTAACTCTTGCCTGCCTCGTGAGTCATCTAAAGAACTTCATAATTGTTTTCTATTTTCTTCAAATTCTTACGAAGTTTCTTGTTCAGGTTTTAGCTCTAGTCTGTCTCATAATGATAACATAAATATCTCCATGCTGATTATCAGTTTATTTTCTTTAATTACGTGCCACAAAATCCTTAAACTTTACAATAACTTGATTATATATTTAAGTGTCACACCTTGGACCTGCCATTGTTCCAAACTGCTTCAGCTACCAAATCCCCTGTTGAATCCTGAAATCCTGTCTTTCAGTCTTTCTTATAACAGATCTCTTCTCAAATGCTTCTGCCCTTTACACCAGGTTTCATGAGGATATCATCTACAACTCAGTTAAGATAATAAACCAGGCTTTCTTGGATGCATATGCAATCACTAATTTTTTATGTATCTAAATCTTAATGTAAAACGTCTTCAAACATACATATTTACACAATTTCATGATAATATTTTAAAGATAAATTCCAATTTTAGATACATCTCTTTGAAACTGTTGCAGTTTATTTACTATATATTATAAGGAAGACACTTTAACACAGGGTGACAATATTCCTGACATTATATAATAAGACTGATTGTTTTTACCTCTATTTTGAAAGATCACCTTTTACAATAAATTTGAAAGCAAATTATATTTATATCCTTACATGTGTCTTATATGTGTCTTCTTGTGCCAAGATATCACTTCTTCACCTCTTTTCACCTCTATTATTTCCTCTGCATAACCTAGTAGAAACTACTTATTACCATGTGCTTGTCTATAACTGAGAATAGTAACAATTCTATTGTACAGTGCTGTTATGAGGATTGGTTGAGTTGATACATACAAAAACTGAAAACAAAACAAAAATCTACTTCATCATTTGTTTTTGTTGTTGTTGTTTGGTTTTGCTTTTTTTGTTGTGGTTTGTTTGTTTCACTAGAATATCTATAGCAGTATTATTCACAATTATTCACAAAAGCCCCAAACTGGAAACTATCCAAATGTCCATCAACAGTAGAACACCAAAATAAATTGAGATGTAACTAGAACAATAGAGAAGGAAATGGCAATCCAATTCAGGATCCTTGTCTGGCAAATCCCATGGACAGAGGAGCCTGGCAGGCTATAGTCCATGATTTCCTAAAAGATTCAGACATGATTTCTAGACTAAACAACAACATTATCTATTATGAATGAAATACTGCCCAGTGATAATAAGGATTGCTCCACAGCCAAATGCAGCAACATGGATTAATTTCACAGACATAATGTTGAGCAAAAGAATCTTCCTACAGATTTGTACTATAGAAAGTATAAAAGTAAACTAAATTTTTCATTTGTGATAATTTAGAAATACATTTTAAGATTATACAGCTCAATGAAATGTTATTAAAACAATTCTATAGTCTTTCCAACTTGAAAGATTGAAAATAAAAACAGAAAAGAAAATAGTAATGCAAAAGGATTCAGAAAAGGAAAAAAATCAAAGGAGTGACTTTCAGGGAACAAAGAGAAAAGCACAACAGTGAACTTAAGACAGAACAGTGACAGAAATAAAAGTTAGGTCTATGGAGAAAAAATTTAAAAGGCAGTAAAGTTCTATGACCAAGTCATGTTTATTTGAAATTTGGAGAAAATGTGGGCAGCGAGAACTAATACTAAAAAGATTAATGTCAATGTTATCATCATAAAAACATATGAATATATTAGGAGACAAACTTACTTGAGAGCAGGAAAAGGCATTCTGGCACCCTGATGTTCTGGTCCTCTTCCCCTTGAGGTTATGAAGGAGGGTATCACAGTTTCACTGCACTGAAATTCGGGGTGATTATGTAACTTGTTTTAGTAACTGAAACCTATGTCACTCCTATGATGAAAACACTTAAGAGCTGTTGGTGATCCTACAGGTTTTCTCTTCTAAAGCAGCAGTGATTATAAGGTGGTTTTGATGTAAAGATGCTGGAATGGCAAGGGTAAAACGCCCCTGGACTCCAGTGTGACTATCTGAAGGGCAGCTGCCCTGGAGAGTCACCAGAAGCTTGCTCTTAGATTTTGTATGAAAAAATAACAGCCTTGTATTATGCCTAACTACTGGAGTTCTGCTAAATTATAACTAGCTCAACTAATGAACAGAAAAAACTGTATTACCCGTAAATCATATGGAGGCCTGTTCTATTATGGCAATGACATATTATTTTAAACTGGGAAATGACTTCAACTTAAACTATTTATTAAAGTAATAATATTTTTGGTAAAATAATTCTTTAATATGAAGAAAGGCTTATTTCCTGCTATCTCTAGTTTTCTTTCATTTTTTAACCTAGTGTAACTTATTAATAGATGTTGTATGGTTATCTATATGATAATATTTTATTACTGGTTTAGCAGAAGCACAGTAATATGTAAAACAAGTTTGTCTTCAGATTTGCAGGTTTGCAAACCCCACTTCATATGTTCAGAGACACTAATCCAACTATTTGGAAACAGCAATCACTCTATACACATAATGGAGCAATTGGTGAGTCAAAGATTCATAAATTAATTTATTGTATTACAAATGGTTAAGTATTTGTTAATACTTAACAAATAGTATTACCATTGTGTATTCTTTGCAGGAAGTGAAAATGTTCATAGTATTTTATTAATACTTACATCATTAAAAAGATAATCCAGGTTAATCTAACCAATTTAAATATATTCTGAAATATCTGAATCAACTAAAGAATGTGATTATTTTATTTATACTTCTATAACACTTTCATAAAACTTTACAAAATCAGACTGTGCATATCCTTTGTCGAATGGTATAGAACTCATACGGACAAAACCCAACCTATTATTTCTTCTAAACTCCCCACCAGAAATTTAATAGATCCATCATTGTTTTTCTGAATAGGCTCTTGGTTGCAGCCCTCAAATGTTCTGATTTTATTGAAAGCAGTGTTTTGGAAGGCAGGGTTTACTTCTGATCCACCTACTCTGCGATCTTCCTTTAACCAAGTTCAGTAAGCACAACATCATGACCCCTCTATTATAATACAATCTCCAAGGGCTGAGCACCCTTAGAGAAAGCAAAATAATGTCCTGGAATCTTTCTCATGGTACAATTTTATTCTTCTCATGTCTTATTAGTTGGTTATTCCAACACTTCACTTGTGTTTATATGCCTTTCTTGTCTCTTTAAATGCATTTCAAACTCACCAATTGCTCTACTATATGTATAGAGTGATTGCTATTTCTCAATAAATATTTGAATTAGTGTCTCTGAACATACAAAGTAGAGTTAGTAAAGTTGCAAATCTGAAGACAAACTTGTTTTACATATTGTCTCTGCACTCTAACCCTAACTCCCACTGTTCAGAAAATACCAAGACTCACCAATATTCAGCATTTCTTATCACCTAAAAACTGTATTTATCTTTTTTATATCTTTCTTCTGTTTCTCTGGAAGAAGCATGTGTCTTCACAGAGTTCATATTCTCCCTCTGCCAATCTATGATGTCTTGCTAACTCAATGATCTACTTAACCTATAATTCTTCAACTACTCTTTCTATATTAGTGTTTTCTTCCTAAATGTTAAATTAAGAGAAATATAAACTTAAATTGCTATCCTCTCTCTTACTTTCCGGCAAAATTCCTGGACAAAAATCTATCTACATTCTGTGCTCCAATTTCTCATCTATAATTCATTTCTGAAAAAAGGCTGATTTTTATGAAATCTGGATTATTAAGACAACACAGACAGTGCTCTACCAATAAGACACATCTGAACAAAATATGTGGATAATTTCTAGTCTTTATCTTATTTTCTCTATCTGTTGTACTGACTAAACTCTCCTTCATATAATTTCTCTATATTGTTTATTCTATGGCAATGATTTCAAACAGTTTTATTCTCTCATATACTGTAGTCCTCTATTGCACATATTCATCTGTGTCCAGTGGCTCAACTGTGTCCAACTCTGCGACCCCATGGACTGTAGCCTTCCAGGTTCCTCAGTCTATGGGATTTTCCTGGAAAAAATACTACAGTGGGCATCATTCCTCCTCCAGGGGATCTTCCTGAAACAGGGACTGAACCCTTATCTCCTGAGTCTCCTGCACAACAACCAGATTCTTTACCACTGAGCTGAGGGGGAAGCCATCAGTTCATCCCTTATATATTGACGTAATTCAGACAACTATCTTCAGATTTTAGATATTCTTATACTATTTATTTATGTGTCTGGTTCATCAAGTTTTGTATTACCTCTACTTTCTTTTTTTTTCCCATTTATTTTTATTAGTTGGAGGCTAATTACAGTAGAGTATTGAAGTAGGATTTGTCATACATTGACATGAATCAGCCATGGAGTTACATGTATTCCCCATCCCGATCCCCCCTCCCACCTCCCTCTCCACCCGATCCCTCTGGGTCTTCCCAGTGCACCAGGCCCGAGCACTTGTCTCATGCATCCAACCTGGGCTGGTGATCTGTTTCACCCTAGATAATATACATGTTTCGATGCTGTTCTCTTGAAACATCCCACCCTCGCCTTCTCCCACAGAGTCCAAAAGTCTGTTCTATACATCTGTGTCTCTTTTTCTGTTTTGCATATAGGGTTATCGTTACCATCTTTCTAAATTCCATATATATGTGTTAGTATACTGTAATGGTCTTTATCTTTCTGGCTTACTTCGCTCTGTATAATGGGCTCCAGTTTCATCCATCTCATTAGAACTGATTCAAATGAATTCTTTTTAATGGCTGAGTAATATTCCATGGTGTATATGTACCACAGCTTCCTCATCCATTCGTCTGCTGATGGGCATCTAGGTTGCTTCCATGTCCTGGCTATTATAAACAGTGCTGCGATGAACATTGGGGTGCACGTGTCTCTTTCAGATCTGGTTTCCTCGGTGTGTATGCCCAGAAGTGGGATTGCTGGGTCATATGGCAGTTCTATTTCCAGCTTTTTAAGAAATCTCCACACTGTTTTCCATAGTGGCTGTACTAATTTGCATTCCCACCAACAGTGTAAGAGGGTTCCCTTTTCTCCACACCCTCTCCAGCATTTATTGCTTGTAGACTTTTGGATAGCAGCCATCCTGACTGGCGTGTAATGGTACCTCATTGTGGTTTTGATTTGCATTTCTCTGATAATGAGTGATGTTGAGCATCTTTTCATGTGTTTGTTAGCCATCTGTATGTCTTCCTTGGAGAAATGTCTGTTTAGTTCTTTGGCCCATTTTTTGATTGGGTCATTTATTTTTCTGGAGTTGAGCTGGAGGAGTTGCTTGTATATTTTTGAGATTAATCCTTTGTTGCTTCGTTTGCTATTATTTTCTCCCAATATTACCTCTACTTTCTTATGCATAACTATTAATAGGCATTTATTTTTTACAAAGTGCAACCATCTTTAGGGTGGCAACATTGTGGAAACTATTACAAAACAAGTGTCTCTGTCTTCAAAATCCACCAGCCAAAAAAAAAAAAAAAAAATGCCAGCTAGGATGCTAAATAGTTGAAAATTGCATTATTGGCTGCACTTATTAGACTGGTTTTATTTTTAATAAGAATTTCTCATTTCTTCTGCTATCAGTTATTTATTCTCAAATATTTTAAAAAATTGCCACAATATCTTTAGCAGGTTGGTTATATAACCTCTAATATGAATCAGGCTTCCCTGGTGGCTCAGATGGTAAAGAATCTGCCTGCGATGCAGGACACCCAGATTAATTTTTGTCTAGGGAGTAGAATGTGAAAGTGATAGTGTTAATCACTCAGTCGTGTCCAGCTCTTTGCGAATCCATGAGCTGTAGCCTGTCTGGCTCCTCTGTCCATGAAATTATCCAGGCAAGAATCCTGCAGTGGGCACCCATTCACTTCTCCAGGGTACCTTCCCAATCCAGGGACTGAACCCAGGTCTCAATGCAGGCAGATTTTTATCATCTGAGGAGTAGAAATGGGGATGTAGAAGAGCAGAGGAAATGTTTGCAGGGGTCAGGAAAATGTTCTAAAACTGGATTGTGGTGACTGGTTTCACTCCTATGAGAAATTACTAAAAAAATTTTAAAAATCTCTGAATTATATTAAGACATGTAGAATGAGTGAATTTATGGTTTGGAAATTATGCCTTAATAAAGCTGTTTTAATAAAAAGGAAAACATAAAGTCTTAAAAAAAAGGTGAAAAGTGATTAAATATTTTGATTGTTCAGAGGCTTAATTACTTTCTTTTGAATCTTTCAAAGAATTTTGAAGCTTGAAAATGTCATGCATGTGTTCTCACAAAAATATACACTATTTTAATTTTGGGGGGCATTACATTTTTTGTCAGCAAATAGCTTTCAGTGTTGCAGCATCTTGCAAGAATTTTTGGAAAGAGAGATTCACCCAAACTTTCTCAAAGATATCTTAAAAAATACTGGGTGATAATAGATTTACGACAACAACAACAACGACAACAACAACAACAACAACAACAAAAAACAACCCTGTGCACCAGAGAGAATATTGTTTTTAAATAATGGTCTGGAAATGTTCCAATACTAGGCAATTTTCTTGCTAAAAGTGTTTAGCTGACATCTCATTAAACTTACAGAAGCTGTAAGATTTTACCAGAATGAAGAATTCCCAATTGTGTAATATTGTTGTTTTTGTTTAGTTGCTGAGTCATATCCAACTCTTTACAACCCCATGGACTGAAGAAAACTAGGCTTCCCTGTCCTTCACTATCTCCTAGAGTTTACTCAAACTCGTGTCTATTGATTTTGTGATGTTATTCAACCATTTTATCCTGCCATCCCCTTCTCCTCCTGCCTTCAATCTTTCCCAGCATCTGGGTCTTTTCTAATGAGTCGGCTCTTCACATCAGGTGGCCAAAGTATTGGAACTTCAGCTTCTGCATCACTCCATCCAATGAATATTCAGGATTGACTTTCTTCATGATTGACTAGTTTGATCACCTTGCAGTCCAAGGAACTCTCAAGTCTTCAACACCACAATTTGAAAGCATCAGTTCTTTGGCTCTCAGGCTTCTTTATGGTCCAACTCTCACATCCGGACATGTATACTGGAAAAAACATGGCCTTGATTACATGGAACTTTGTCAGAAAAGTGATGTCTCTACTTTTTAATATGCTGTCTAGGTTTGTCATAGCTTTCCATCCAAGAAGCAAATGTCTTTTAATTTCATGGCTACAGTCACCATCTGCAGTGATTTTGGACCCAAGAAAATAAAATCTGCCACTGTTTCCACTTTTTCCCCTCCTATTTGCCATGAAGTGATGGTACTGGATGCCATGATCTTAGTTTTTTGAATGTTGAGTTTTAAGCCAGCCTTTTCACTCTCCTCTTTCACCTTCATATCTGAGGTTGTTTATATTTCTCCTAGAAATCTTGATTCTAGCTTGTGCTTCATCCAGTCCAGAATTTTACATGATGGACTCTGCATAGAAGTTACATAAGCAGGGTAACATTATACATCTTTGCTGTACGCCTTTCCCAGTTTGGAACCAGTCAGTAGTTCCATGTTTG